TATAGCTTTCTGCTCCTTTGTCCAGCTATTCATCTCTGCCAGTAGCTCAAATTGTGCTCTATATGCTTCCCACAGTGCCTTCCCATCGAATTCCTGTGGCTTCCTTCGCACTGGATCACTCCTATTACTGACCTTCATGTCGGGATGTGACTTCTAACGGGACTGAATATGTCTACATTAGGGTTTAGCTGCGGACTCTGTAAGTGGCTTGCCATTGTCTGGGCTGATTAAGTCGATGGTCAATGTATCCTCCTTGTGTAAAAGACAATAGATCGTCCTTTAACTTATCTAATTCGCTTTTACATTTACTAATGTTTTCCATTTGTACTTCTTGTTTCCTTTCTTGTTCCAGTTGCCACTGGTGTAATCTCTCTTCTTGTTTCTTTTCTCGTTCTTCTTGTTTCTTTTTCCTCCAACAACTGCTGTAATCTCTGTTGTTTATTTTGCTGTTCGAGCTGCCATTGTTGTAGGTTTTCTTGCCACTGCTGTAATCTTTCTTCATGTTTCTTTTCCCGTTCTTCTTGTTTCTTTTCTTTTTCTTCTAACAACTGCTGTAATCTCTCTTCTTGTTTATTTTGTTGTTCGAGCTGCCACTGTTGCATGTTTTCTTGCCACTGCTGTAATCTTTCTACTTGTTTCTTTTCTCGTTCGTCTTGTTTTTTCTTTTTCCTCCAACCACTGCTGTAATTTCTCTTCTCGTTCTTCTTGTTTCTTTTCTTTTTCCTCCAACAACTGTTGTAATCTCTCTTCTTGTTTATTTTGTTGTTCGAGCTACCACTGTTGAAGGTTTTCTTGCAACTTCTGTTGTCTCTCTTCTTGTTTCTTTTCTTGTTTATTCTCACGTTCTTCTTGTTTCTTTTCTTTTTCCTCTAACAACTGTTGTAATTTCTCTTTTCGTTCTTCTTGTTTCTTTTGCTGTTCTTGTATTGCTGCCATTAAGTCTGCTAGGCTGTAGATTGATTTGCCGCTTCTCGTTTCCATTTTTTTATCCCACTCTCTGACACCAGTTTGTTATGTCTCCGTTTGTTAATTAACTTTCCGCAACTTCGTTCCGACGTAACTTTAGCGACACAAGTCCTTACTTAATAAAACTGGTTTATTCTTTCCGAATATAACTTTACGATGCACTTAATTTCAACAATCGCGCTAAAACAAACGCTATAACAACGAACGTGCTCAATAATACGTGCAGATCAATTACTCACTGTCTACACACACATTATTATTCTCTCGTCACGTTGTCACCCTCTTATATATATACCAGACTACCCTATATCTAGTAGCCTC